AGTTTCTACCTTTAAAAAAATCGATATTTTCAAATAAACTTTCACCCCCCCCCCCCGTTTCCCACCCTTAAAATGTGAAAATCCTAAAACCCTAAAACACGTCATTATTAATTTGTATTCATTAGCTGCAATGTCAATTTTCATGTTTCTAACTTTAAAGAGAACGAAAAACATAGATACTTCCAAATAAATTCTCACCCCCCATTTCCCCTTTTAAAATGCAAAAATCTAAAAACCTGAAACATCGTCATTAATAATTTGTAGCCAGTAGCTGCAATTCCAATTTTCATGTTTCTAACTTCAAAGAGAACAAAAAAAAAATCGATAGTCTCATACACACTTTCAAGCCATGGCCTTTCTGGCTTCTCCTTCCTATCATTTTCACAGCTGCAACAAATTGTTTACTGGCTCATCGATGTACAGTAGGGATTGTAGGAAGAGGATCGGAACTAACGCTTTCTCAAATAAAAACAAATTTACTTTTAGCCATGTCCTGCCGTTTATTGAGTAAGTGAGTGATAGTGAAAGTTTGGAAAATCCTGCTAATTTCAATGATAGTACTGAATACTACGACAGTTCGGAGAACATTGCCGGTGATAACTCGAGCGGCTCATCACACAACAGTCTAGAGAAGAGCGACAATGTGCTCAGGTCAGATTCAAAAAAAAAAGTTTGGAGAATCTAATAATTGACTTAGAAGATTCCAACGAAAACTCTCACAGCCTTGAAAAAAATGAACAGGACTGTTCTGGACACCGACGGAGCTCTTAGTGAGGGCAGATCGCCGATCGCGACAAAAAAAATAAACCGATTTTGAATCTTCAAAAAAGTATAGAGAAAATTTAAATTCTTCTCAAAGGACATTTAAAACCGTAGATATGCCGAAAGTACTGAATATTACGACAGTTCGGAGAATATTGCCGGTAATAATTGTAGTGACTCATCACACGACAGTCTAGAGAAGGGCAACAACGTACTCAAATCAGATTCTAAAAAAAAAAGTTTGGAGAATATAATAATTGACTTGGAAGATTCCAACGAAGACTTTCACAACCCTGACAAAATGAACAGGACCGTTTTGGACAACGACGGAACTGTTAGTAAGGCGGATCGCGACCAAAAATAAAACTGATTTTGAAGCCACAAAAAAGTATGGAGAAAATCTGAATTCGTCACAGAGCACGTTAAAAACCTTCGAAATGCCGAAATCTGTCATAGTGAAGAATCTTTTGATTCCTCATCGTATCCTTTTGATGTCTCATCATAATGCATCCTTTTGCATCCCCATTTCCTCTCTACTATCCGAATGAAGTTTGACTACTCAGATATGAATGTAATTTTAAATTTAAGTTTGTAGGGATTGTAGGAAGAGGATCGGAACTAACGCTTTCTTAAAAACAAATTTACTTTTAGCAATGTCCTGCCGTTTATTGAGTATTCAGTATTACATATTATTAAAAATATGATAAAATTGTGTATAAACATATAATTTGTGCTTACAAAATGTACCTTCAAAGCGATTCAATGCCGAAAAACAAGCTTTTTAACGAATAATTTCAACAAATTATGTGTAATCATTCATTACTTTATACTTTACAATTTTTCTTGTATAAATATTTTATAAGACGGATTTTTAATTTTTTTTTTTTTTTACTAACAAACTTTGTTTATTAAATTTGTTTAATTGAATTTATATCGGGATTTTTTTTTTATACATATTGGTTATTTATTATAAGTTTGTTAGTTTAAAATATCACATTTTTATTCAATGGAATGTTAAGTATAATAAATAATACTCATTTCTATTCAGTTTCCTAGAATTTTCAGAATGGTTTAAAATAGAAACTGCATAGAGATATTATTGAAGAAATTTTGAGTTGTCATTTTTATACAACGAAAACGAAAAAAAATATAGATAAAATACAGTGTGTCCCACAAAATAATAAATATATAATTTTTATAACGCTATATATACTCAATAAAATTAGAAAGTAATATTTAACAAAGAGGTACTATCTAAAAATTTCTAAATATTTACTTTACTTTTACAGTTTATCAAACGAGGCGCAGCTGAGTTTGATAATGTTTTTTCGTCATTAGAGACGAAAGTTGTTGATTTTTAAATGGTTATAGAAAAATATACATACGACATAATAAAAACATCTGGGGAGTACTTTATAGGGGGGTCTTTTTTATATTTTATGGAATATATCTGTTATTTACGTTTGGATAAGAAAATTCTTCAAATAAAAGTTACTTCTAGTATCATTCTCTATAATTTTTGTTTTATACAAAATTTTCCTAAAATGGGCCGTATTCGAGACATTTGAGAAAATGTGTAAATTTCGAATTTTGAAGAAAACTCAAACGGATAAATATAAAAAAACCAAATTTTAAACTTAAGCTTTATTCGGACTTGTAGTGAACTGATTAGATTTTAGGCAGAGTTGGAACAGCTAGGAGGGGACTTTATAGGGGGTCATTTTTATATTTTATGGAATATATCTGTTATTTAAGCCTAGAAAAGAAAATTTTTCGAATAAAAGTTGCTTCTACTATCATTCTCTATAGTTTTTGTTTTATATAAAATTTTCCTAAAATGGTCCGTATTCGAGATATTTGAGAGAAAGTGTAAATCTCGAATTTTGAAGAAAACTCAAAAACGGACAAAGAGAAAAGAAAAATCTTTAAATGAAAGTTACTTCTAATTTTATTCTCTATAATTTTTGTTTTATACAAAATTTTCTAAAAATGGTCCGTATTCGAGAAATTTGACAAAATGTAAAAAATTTAACTTTTTATGAAAAGTGCTTAGATTAAAGTTGTTCGCGATACAATTCTCTATAGTTTTTATCCTATACATCATTTCTCTAAAATGGACCGTATTCGAGATATTTGAGAAAAAGTGTAAATTTAGAATTTTGAAAAAAAAACTCAAAAACGGATAAAGTAACAAGAAAAATTTTCAAATAAAAGTTACTTCTAATATTATTCTCTATAATTTTTTTCCCATACAAAATTTTCCTAAAATGGACCGTATTCGAGATATTTTAGAAAAAGTGTAAATTTCGAATTTTGAAGAAAAATCAAAAACGGATAAAGAGAGAAGAAAAATCTTCAAATAAAAGTTATTTCTAATATTATTCTCTATAATTTTTGATTCATACAAAATTTTCCTAAAATGGTCCGTATTCGAGAAATTTGACAAAATATTACAAATTAAAATTTTTTATAAAAAATCTTCAAATAAAACTTGTTTGCGATATAATTTTCTATAATAATAAGACTGAAACCTTTTAAATTACACACGATCATAAGTTAATTTTCTAAAATGGTCCGTAACCGAGAAATTCAAAATATATTTAAAAACCACTGTTTAATTCAATTTCCCATGAATTATTTTAAATTCTCCTCCAAAAAGGCGACCCCACATTCAAATTTTCATAATAAATTATAATCACCAAATTTTAAACTTAAAGCTTTATATCGGCCTGCGGTGAAATAATTTAGACAGGGTCGGGACATCGGGAGGGATACTTTATTGGAGATCATTTTTATATTTTATGAAATATATCCGTTATTTACGTTTGGAGAAGAAAATTCTTCAAGTAAAAGTTACTTCTAATATTATTCTCTATAATATTTGTTATATACAAAATTTTCCTAAAATGGACCGTATTCGAGATATTTGAGAAAAATTGTAAATCTCGAATTTTGAAGAAAACTCAAAAACGGATAAAGAGAAAAGAAAAATCTTAAAATAAAAGTTACTTCTAATATTATTCTCTATAATTTTTGTTTTATACAAAATTTTCCTAAAATGGTCCGTATTCGAGAAATTTGACAAAATGTAAAAAATTTGAATTTTTCTGAAAATCGTTTGAATAAAAGTTGTTTGTGATCTAATTCCCTATAGTTCTTGTCCTATATATAATTTCTCTAAAATGGACCGTATTCGAGATATTTGAGAAAATGTGTAAATCTTGAATTTTGAAGAAAACTCAAAAACGGATAAAGAAAAAAGCATTAAATTTTAAACTTAGGTTTTATTCTGACCTGAGGTGAACTGATTAGAATTTGGGCAGAGTCGGAACATCTGGGGAGGTACTTTATAGGAGACCGTTTTTATATTTTATGGAATATATCTGTTATTTATGTTTGGAGAAAAAAATTGTTCAAATAAAAGTTACTTCTAATATTATTATCTATAATTTTTGCTTTATGTCAAAATTTCCTGAAATGGTTCGTATTCGAGAAATTTGACAAAATGTAAAAAATTTATGATGATTTAAAAATTAAAATAACTATAAATGTATATTAATCACAACTCACATTTCTTTTAAACATTGTCAAATTAAATTATTATTATTATTTGATTAATTTGTTTTAAAATTTTTAAACTATTTATTAAACAAAGTTCGTTTACATCATTATTTTACGGAAAAATTATTGATATCTCAACAATATGTTAATCAACAGTCTATAAAAGCCATCCCAAATATTGGGACCGTCAATTTTTCATGGAATTTGTTATTTCAGCTATTTTTCTATAATTACGTATTGAAAAAAAAAAAAAAAAAAAATTGTTTCTATATTAACTAAAAAAAAAAGACAAAAAAAAAGACAAAAAAAAAAATTATATAAAAAGGTACATTTTCATCAAATTTCGTGAAAAAGATAAAATTAAAAAATCAAAAAGTTGGATATTTGGATTTTTCTCATTAATTTTGAGGTTATGCGAAAAAAGTGTAAATACAAAAGTTGTAGATCTTTTTATTACCTACAACTTTGCTATTAAACTTTTTTTCATAGGACTTGTAGTTTTGCTGGAAATCGAGTAAAACCGTTTACCCAAAATAACAAATTCCATTTTTATATATAACTCGATCTTTTTCATACAATAATACAACATTGTTTTTTTAAATCTTATGTATACAATTTAATAAATTAAAAAAATCATTAGGTAAAAACATTTTTTTAGTAGGTAATTTGTTTGGGTATTATTTTTTACTTTTCTTTGGACTGCCCAAAGGAGACTCCTAAAAAAATATACAAATATTACAATTTTATAGAAATAAAAAACAGTTTTTTTGAAAAATAATACTGGTACCCGTTTAGGTATGTTTCCTTACCAGGTCTAGCTCGTCTAATGATTCTAATTTAGCGATAGGAGCAGTTTTTTCCTCTTTTTCCTTATCTTTTGGTAACAAACATTCTGCCCATGATGGTTCAATTCCTTTTTCGAAATCGAAAGCTTTATTAAACGACGCAAACCTGGGAAAAAATTTAAATTATAATTACAAAACGTTCTAAATCTATTATTATTATTTCTAATTTATCTAAAACGAGTTAAAAATTAAAAAAAAAATTTTTACTAATAAAATAAATTTGATAATCAGAAATTGACTGTTAATTTTTGAATCTTTTCTGTTGTTTTAAGTAAAATATTTATTAAAAGTAATTCTTAATACAGGGTGTCCCAATGAAAAGTAGTCCCGTTTCCGTTTGATAAAAATTGGTTTCGGTGAATTTAAAAAAGGAAATTTTTTAAAAAACACCCTGTATATGTAATAGATAATTTCTGTGTAACTGAAGTAAAATTTGGAGCAAAATAACACATATCAGTAAAAATTGCATGTTTATGCGATTTGTTTGAAAGTTATGGAAACATACTGCTTTTCATTGGGACACCCTGTATTTTAGTACTAGGTTAGGTATATTATACGATAAGGTTCATTGTTTTCTATGTTTTTTTTCTTTCTGTACTAGTGTAAGAATTTAAATTAGAAAATAATGAGTAAAATAGTGTTTGTAAATATTTTAACCCAGAAAAAGTTAGTAGAATTATATTTTATAGAATATATCTGTTATTTATGTTTTGAGAAAAAAATTCTTCAAATAAAAGTTGCTTCTAATATTATTCTCTATAATTTTGGTTTTGTATAAAATTTTCCTAAAATGGTCCGTATTCGAGATATTTGAGAAAAAGTGTAAATCTCGAATTTTGAAAATAACTCAAAAACGAATAAAAGGAAAAACACCAACTTTTAAAATTAAGCTTAATTCCGGCCTGCGGTGAATTGATTAGATTTTTATCAGAGTGAGAACATCTGGGGGGGTACTTTAAAGGGAGCCATTTTTATATTTTATAAAAAATATCCGTTATTTACGATTGGAAAAAAAAAAAATCTTTAAATAAAAGTTGCTTCTAATATTATTCTCTATAATTTTTGTTTTATACAAAATTTTCCTAAAATGAACCGTATTCGAGATATTTGGAAAAAAGTGTAAATCTCGAATTTTGAAAATAACTCAAAAACGAATAAAAGGAAAAACATCAAATTTTAACCTTAAGCTTTATTGCGGCCTGCGGTGATTTGATTAGATTTTAGGCAGAGTCGGAATATCTGGAGGGGTACTTTATAGGGCGCCATTTTTATATTTTATGGAAAATATCCGTTATTTACGATTGGAGAAAAAAATTGTTTAAATAAAAGTTGTTAGTGATAGAATTCTCTATAGTTCTTGTCTTATATGTCATTTCTCTAAAATGGACCGTATTCGAGATATTTAAGAAAAAGTGTTTGAATTTTGAAGATTCACTGTTTTTCAACTTTTTTCGACGTTTTTAGCGTTTTTGATTTTATTTTAAATCTGATTCCAAGAAAAACATTCTCCGATCATGTAGGTAATGAGCCACTTGGAAGCCCCCCCCCTTTTTACCAGCCGTTTTTCGAAGTTTTTCTACGTTTTCGACAGTTTTTTTAACGTTTTTAAACGATTTTCAACGTTTTTAAATGTTTTTCGACATTTTTAGCGTTTTTGATTTTATTTTAAATCTTATTCCAAGAAAAACATTCTCCGATCATGTAGGTAATGAGCCACTTGGGAGCCCTCATTTATACCAGCCGTTTTTCGACGTTTTTTCAACGTTTTTCTACCGTTTTTTAACGTTTTTCAAAGTTTTTCGACGTTTTTAGCGTTTTTGATTTTATTTTAAATCTTATTCCAAGAAAAACATTTTCCGATCAAGTAGATAATGAGCCACTTGGGAGGCCCCCATCAATCCACTTTTTACCAGCCGTTTTTTGACGTTTTTCAACGTTTTCAAAGTTTTTCGACGTTTTTTAAAGTTTTTAGCGTTTTTTAACGTTTTTCGGAAAAAAGTGTAAATCTCGAATTTTGAAAATAACTCAAAAACGAATAAAGGGAAAAACACCAAATTTTAAACTTAAGCTTTATTCCGGCCTGCGGTGATTTGATTAGATTTTAGGCAGAGTCGGAACATCTGAAGGGGTACTTTATAGGAGGCCATTTTTATATTTTATAGAATATATCTGTTATTTACGTTTGGAAAAGAAAATTCTTTAAATAAAAGTTACTTACAATATTATTACCTATAATTTTTGTCTCATGCGAAATTTTCCTAAAATGGACCGTATTCGAGATATTTGAAAAAATGTGTAAATCTCGAATTTTGAAAATAACTCAAAAACGAATAAAGGGAAAAACACCAAATTTTAAACTTAAGCTTTATTGTGGCCTGTGGTGATTTGATTAGATTTTAGGCAGAGTCGGAACATCTGAAGGGGTACTTTATAGGAGGCCATTTTTATATTTTATAGAATATATCTGTTATTTACGTTTGGAAAAGAAAATTCTTTAAATAAAAGTTACTTACAATATTATTACCTATAATTTTTGTCTCATGCGAAATTTTCCTAAAATGGACCGTATTCGAGATATTTGAAAAAATGTGTAAATCTCGAATTTTGAAAATAACTCAAAAACGAATAAAGGGAAAAACACCAAATTTTAAACTTAAGCTTTATTGTGGCCTGTGGTGATTTGATTAGATTTTAGGCAGAGTCGGAACATCTGAAGGGGTACTTTATGGGGAGCCATTTTTATATTTTATGGAATAAATTCGTTATTTACATTTGGAGAAGAAAATTCTTCAAATAAAAGTTATTTATAATTTTATTCTCTATATTTTTTGTCTCATACAAAATTTTCCTAAAATGGACCGTATTCGAGATATTTGAGAAAAAGTGCAAATTTCGAATTTTGAAGTTAATTCAAAAACGGATAAAGAGAGAAGAAAAATCTTCAAATAAAAGTTACTTCTTATATTATTGTCTATAATTTTTGTCTTATACAAAATTTTCCTAAAATGGACCGTATTCGAGATATTCGAGAAAAAGTGCAAATTTCGAATTTTGAAGTTAATTCAAAAACGGATAAAGAGAGAAGAAAAATCTTCAAATAAAAGTTACTTCTTATATTTTTCTCTATAATTTTTGTCTCATACAAAATTTTCCTAAAATGGACCGTATTCGAGATATTTGACAAAATATTAAAAATTCAAATAAAACTTGTTTGCGATATAATTTTCTATAATAATAAGACTGAAATCTATTAAATTACACACGATCATAAATTAATTTCCTAAAATGGACCGTAACCGAGAAATTCAAAATATATTTGAAAACCACTGTGTTTAACTCAATTTCCCATGAATTATTTTAAATTCTCCTCCAAAAAGACGACCCCACATTCAAATTTTTTCTATAAATTATACATTTCAAATCATAAAATGATAAATTTAATTCTAGATTATTTTTAAATAATCATTCAATTTTTTTTTTAATCAAATAAATATTTATTTGCAAACAAACTTTGGTTCAGCCAATGAGAGCGTATTTTCATTTCGTTTCAAACTATCCTATTTGCAAATACTACAAATTTACACTGTTGTAGTTACAAAAAAATAAAAATAATAGTAGTAGTGGTTGCCTAATAATTCAAAATTTAAAAGCCAATTTTTTATTAAAAAAAAAATAAAAAAAAATTACCTATGAAGAACTTGGGAATGATTTCTTGAAATCGGTTTAGGTTCACTAACTGATCTTTGAAATGTATATCTAGTTCTACAAGGATCTATTGCTAAATTTTCATACTCAGGCATCTGAAAGAAGAAAAAATACTTTTCTATTTTTACTGTAATAAAATGAAATTTCTAGAAATGTATAAAAATGTCTAGAAATGTCTAGGAATGCCTAGGAATATCTAGAAATGTCTGGGAATGCCTAGAAATGTTTAGGAATATCTAGGAATGCCTAGGAATGTCTTGGAATGTCCAAGAATGTCTATAAAGGTCTAGAAATGTCTAGAAATATCTAAAAATGTCTAAGAATGTCTATAAAGGTCTAGAAATATCTAAAAATGTCTAGGAATGTCTAGGAATATCTAAGAATGTCTAGGAATGTCTAGAAATGTCTAGGAATGTCTAGAAATTTTTAGGAATATCTAGGAATGTCCAAGAATGTCTATAAAGGTCTAGAAATGTCTAAGAATGTCTATAAAGGTCTAGAAATATCTAAAAATGTCTAGGAATGTCTAGAAATGTTTAGAAATATCTAGGAATGTCTGAGAATGTCTAGGAATGTCCAAGAATGTCTATAAAGGTCTAGAAATATCTAAAAATGTCTAGAAATGTCTAAGAATGTCTATAAAGGTCTAGAAATATCTAAAAATGTCTAGGAATATCTAAGAATGTCTAGGAATGTCTAGAAATGTCTAGGAATGTCTAGAAATTTTTAGGAATATCTAGGAATGTATAGGAATGTCTTGGAATGTCTAAAAATGTATAGGAATGTCTAGAAATATCTAAAAATGTCTATAAAGGTATAGAAATATCTAAAAATGTCTAGGAATGTCTAGAAATGTTTAGAAATATCTAGGAATGTCTGAGCATGTCTAGGAATGTCAAAGAATGTCTATAAAGGTCTAGAAATATCTAAAAATGTCTAGGAATGCCTAGGATTATCTAAGAATGTCTAGAAATATCTAGGAATGTCTAGAAATTTTTAGGAATATCTAGGAATGTATAGGAATGTCTTGGAATGTCTAAGAATGTATAGGAATGTCTAGGAATGTCCAAGAATGTCTATAAAAGTCTAGTAATATCTAAAAATGTCTAGGAATGCCTAGGAATATCTAAGAATGTCTTGGAATGTCTAGGAATGCCTAGGAATATCTAGGAATGTCTAGAAATGTTTAGGAATGTCTAGGAAAGTATAGGAATGTATAAGAATGTATAAGAATGTATTAAAATGTCTAAGAATGTTTAAAAAAAGTCTAGAAATGTCTAGGAATGTTTACAAATGTTTAGAAATGTCTAGAAACAGCTAAAAATGTCTAGGAATATCTAGGAATGTCTTGGAATGTCTAGGAATGCCTAGGAATGTCTAAGAATGTCTAGAAATATCTAGGAATGTCTAGAAATTTTTAGGAATATCTAGGAATGTATAGGAATGTCTTGGAATGTCTAGGAATGTATAGGAATGTCTAGGAATGTCCAAGAATGTCTATAAAAGTCTAGTAATATCTAAAAATGTCTAGGAATGCCTAGGAATATCTAAGAATGTCTTGGAATGTCTAAGAATGCCTAGGAATATCTAGGAATGTCTAGAAATGTTTAGGAATGTCTAGGAAAGTATAGGAATGTATAAGAATGTATAAGAATGTATTAAAATGTCTAAGAATGTTTAAAAAAAGTCTAGAAATGTCTAGGAATGTTTACAAATGTTTAGAAATGTCTAGAAACAGCTAAAAATGTCTAGGAATATCTAGGAATGTCTTGGAATGTCTAGGAATGCCTAGGAATGTCTAAGAATGTATAGAAATGTATAAGAATGTCTAAGAATGTTTAAAAAAAAGTCTAGAAAAGTCTAGAAATGTCTAGGAATGTTTACAATGTTTAGAAATGTCTAGAAACAGCTAAAAATGTCTAGGAATGTCTAGGAATGCCTAGGAATATCTAGGAATGTCTTGGAATGTCTAGGAATGCCTAGGAATGTCTAGGAATGTATAGGAATGTATAAAAATGTTTAAAAAAAGTCTAGAAATGTCTATTAATGTTTACAAATGTTTAGAAATGTCTAGAAACAGCTAAAAATGTCTAGGAATGCCTAGGAATGTCTAGGAATGCCTAGGAATGTTTAGAAATGTCTAGAAACAGCTAAAAATGTCTAGGAATGCCTAGGAATGCCTAGGAATGTCTAGAAATGTTTAGGAATGTCTAGGAAAGTATAGGAATGTATAAGAATGTTTAAAAAAAGTCTAGAAATGTCTAGGAATGTTTACAAATGTTTAGAAATGTCTAGAAACAGCTAAAAATGTCTAGGAATGCCTAGGAATGTCTTGGAATGTCTAGGAATGTATAGGAATGTCTTGGAATGTCTAAAAATGTATAGGAATGTCTAGAAATATCTAAAAATGTCTATAAAGGTATAGAAATATCTAAAAATGTCTAGGAATGTCTAGAAATGTTTAGAAATATCTAGGAATGTCTGAGCATGTCTAGGAATGTCAAAGAATGTCTATAAAGGTCTAGAAATATCTAAAAATGTCTAGGAATGCCTAGGATTATCTAAGAATGTCTAGAAATATCTAGGAATGTCTAGAAATTTTTAGGAATATCTAGGAATGTATAGGAATGTCTTGGAATGTCTAAGAATGTATAGGAATGTCTAGGAATGTCCAAGAATGTCTATAAAAGTCTAGTAATATCTAAAAATGTCTAGGAATGCCTAGGAATATCTAAGAATGTCTTGGAATGTCTAGGAATGCCTAGGAATATCTAGGAATGTCTAGAAATGTTTAGGAATGTCTAGGAAAGTATAGGAATGTATAAGAATGTATAAGAATGTATTAAAATGTCTAAGAATGTTTAAAAAAAGTCTAGAAATGTCTAGGAATGTTTACAAATGTTTAGAAATGTCTAGAAACAGCTAAAAATGTCTAGGAATATCTAGGAATGTCTTGGAATGTCTAGGAATGCCTAGGAATGTCTAAGAATGTATAGAAATGTATAAGAATGTCTAAGAATGTTTAAAAAAAAGTCTAGAAAAGTCTAGAAATGTCTAGGAATGTTTACAATGTTTAGAAATGTCTAGAAACAGCTAAAAATGTCTAGGAATGTCTAGGAATGCCTAGGAATATCTAGGAATGTCTTGGAATGTCTAGGAATGCCTAGGAATGTCTAGGAATGTATAGGAATGTATAAAAATGTTTAAAAAAAGTCTAGAAATGTCTATTAATGTTTACAAATGTTTAGAAATGTCTAGAAACAGCTAAAAATGTCTAGGAATGCCTAGGAATGTCTAGGAATGCCTAGGAATGTTTAGAAATGTCTAGAAACAGCTAAAAATGTCTAGGAATGCCTAGGAATGTCTAGAAATGTTTAGGAATGTCTAGGAAAGTATAGGAATGTATAAGAATGTTTAAAAAAAGTCTAGAAATGTCTAGGAATGTTTACAAATGTTTAGAAATGTCTAGAAACAGCTAAAAATGTCTAGGAATGCCTAGGAATGTCTTGGAATGTCTAGGAATGTATAGGAATGTCTAAGAATGTTTAAAAAAGTCTAGAAATGTCTAGGAATGTTTACAAATGTCTAGAAACAGCTAAAAATGTCTAGGAATGTCTAGGAATGCCTAGGAATGTCTAGGAATGTCTTGGAATGTCTAGGAATGCCTAGGAATGTCTAAGAATGTTTAAAAAAAGTCTAGAAATGTCTAGGAATGTTTACAAATGTTTAGAAATGTCTAGAAACAGCTAAAAATGTCTAGGAATGCCTAGGAATGTCTAGGAATGCCTAGGAATGTCTAGGAATGTATAGGAATGTCTAAGAATGTTTAAAAAAAGTCTAGAAATGTCTAGGAATGTTTACAAATGTTTAGAAACAGCTAAAAATGTCTAGGAATGTCTTGGAATGTCTAGGAATGCCTAGGAATGTCTAGAAATGTCTAGGAAAGTATAGGAATGTATAAGAATGTCTAAGAATGTTTAAAAAAAGTCTAGGAATGTTTAGAAATGTCTAGAAACAGCTAAAAATGTCTAGGAATGTATAGGAATGTCTAGGAAAGTATAGGAATGTCTAGGAAAATATAGGAATGTATTGGAATGTTTAGGAATGTCCAAGAATGTCTATAAAGGTCTAGAAATATCTAAAAATGTCTAGGAATGTCTAGAAATGTTTAGGAATGTCTAGGAAAGTATAATAATGTGTAAGAATGTTTAAAAAAAGTCTAGAAATGTCTAGGAATGTTTACAAATGTCTAGATACAGCTAAAAATGTCTAGGAATGTCTAGAAATTACTAAAAATGTCCACGAATATTTAGGAATGTCTAGAAATATCTAAAAATGTCTAGAAATGTTTAAGAATGTCTAGGAGTGTCTAGGAATGCCTAGGAATGCATAGGAATGTCTAGAAATGTCTAGAAATGCCTAAGAATGTCTAGAAATATCTAGGAATGTCTAGTATAGGAATGTATAAGAATATTAATATTTTTTTTTTACCTCTTGTTTAACAGTCGAAACTTCGCTACTACTAGGTTGTTGATGCGCCTGCAAGAGCGATAATATCGTCTTGACGTCCGTCGCTAAAGTGGATTCGAGCGAAGTCACTCGCTTTGACAAATGATCCAATTTGTTATTGATATGCTCCAAGAGGCTTCTACTTATCACTAAATTGTCAGAATGTGAGTCCATTGTGGAATGTTGAATGTGTATGGCGCTATCTAGCGGCACCTACAAATAATATTACTAATAATAATAATAGTAACGTTTAGTTACGAATATACAAACTTTTAAAATAAAATAACACAACAAACAGTGAATAATCCGGCTCGAAGGACCATGAATAATCCGGCTCGAAGGACCATGAATATTCTTTAAACGTGAATTTCATAATTAATAACCACAAGATGGTTTTCATGAAACTCAGAATGTAAACACAATCACCTAAATCATAACGAGGTCAATAAAATAAAATAAATAACTGCAAATTAGCAGTTTTTTTTGCTTGAAAGATCTAATTTCAATACTTTAAAATAATATTTTTATACAAATTATTTCATATACAGGATGTTCTTTTATTTTCTTGATGTTCAAGATTGAACAAACGGAAAATAATAAACAAAGGATAAATTAACAAACTTGGTTTCACATCTCGGATAAATAAACGCAGATATAGTAGATGCGCCCGATATGGATAAACAAACGCAGCAAATGACGTTTAAAAACATAATTTGACATATGAGTGTTATTTGCATTTGCTGTCAAAAATCCTGGTTACTCGCGACTGGTGGTCGGTTAATATCGGGTTACCGATTTAGGATCGTTAGGAGTTCGAAAAAAGTTTTGGACATTGAGTTAAATATCCGTACTCCAACAGTTTTTAAATCGCTATACTTAGTAGTGTCCTACTTTACCGACAGTATAGTTTAACTGTTTACGAATGTCTAGGAATGTCAAGGAATGTCTAGGAATGTCTAGGAATGTCTAGGAATGTCTAGGAATGTTTAGAAATGTCTAGGAATGTTTAGAAATGTCTAGGAATGTATAGGAATGTCTTAAAATGTCTAGGAATGTATAGGAATGTCTAGGAATGACCAAGAATGTCTATAAAGGTCTAGGAATGTCTAGAAATATCTAAAAATGTCTAAGAATGTCTAGGAATGCCTAGGAATGCCTAGGAATATCTAGAAATATCTAGGAATGTCTTGGAATGTCTATAAATGTCTAGGAAAGTATAAGAATGTTTAAAAAGTCTAGAAATGACTAGGAATGTTTACAAATGTTTAGAAATGTCTAGGAAGGTCTAGGAATGTCCAAGAATGTCTATAAAGGTCTAGAAATATCTAGGAATGTATAGAAATATCTAGGAAGGTCTAAGAATGTCTAGGAATGCCTAGGAATATCTAGGAATGTATAGGAATGTCTTGGAATGCCTAGGAATGTCTAGGAATATCTAGAAATGCATAGAAATGTCTAGGAATGTATTGGAATGTTTAAGAATGTCTAAAAATGTCTAGGAATGTCTAGAAAGGTCTAAGAATGTCTAGAAAGGTCTAAGAATGTCTAGAAAGGTCTAAGAATGTCTAGGAATGTATAAGAATGTCTGGGAATGTTTAAAAAAAAGTCTAGAAATGTCTAGGAATGTTTACAAATGTTTAGGAATGTCTAGAAACACCCAGAAATGTATAGGAATGTCTAAAAATGTCTAGGAAAATATAAGAATGTCTAAGAATGTTTAAAAAGTCTAGAAATGACTAGGAATGTTTACAAATGTTTAGAAATGTCTAGGAAGGTCTATAAAGGTCTAGAAATATCTAGGAATGCCTAGGAATGTATAGGAATGTCTTGGAATGTCTAGGAATATGTAGGAAGGTCTAAGAATGTCTAGGAATATCTAGGAATGTATAGGAATGTCTTGGAATGCCTAGGAATATCTAGGAATGTATAGTAATGTCTAGGAATGTCTAGAAATGCATAGAAATGTCTAGGAATGTATTGGAATGTTTAAGAATGTCTAAAAATGTCTAGAAAGGTCTAAGAATGTCTAGGAATGTATAAGAATGTCTGGGAATGTTTAAAAAAATGTCTAGGAATGTTTACAAATGTTTAGGAATGTCTAGAAACACCCAGAAATGTATAGGAATGTCTAAAAATGTCTATGAAGGTCTAGAAATATTTAGGAATGTCTATAAATATCTAAAAATGTCTAGGAATGCTTAGGATTATCTAGAAATGTCTTGGAATGTCTAGGAATGTATAAAAATGTATAAGAAGGTCTAAAAAAGTCTAGAAATGTTTACGAATATTTAGAAATGTCTAGAAATGTCTAGGAGTATCTAGGAATGTCTAAAAATGTCTAGAAATGTCTAGGAACATCTAAGAATGTCTAGGATTTTAACAGAAACAAGTGTTGATTTATTCTGTTTGTTTTTTTAGTTTCTTCTCAACGAAATAACTTACAGAAGATATCTAACAGAGAATACTTTAATCTCCATAGAAGATATTTTAGAAATCGCTTTTTCTTTCAATCTAAAAATATAATTTTTTATAGAAGAAATATCAGCATGAATATAGATGAGTAGACAAATATTGAAACCCAACAGTTTTTAAATCGCTATACACTTAGTGGTGTCCTACTTTACCGACAGTATAGTTTAACTGTAAAAGAACTACTGTTGAAATCAAGCAAGCTTGTTACCAACTATTTACAGGGAGCACGTAGAGAACATGAAATCCGTTCCGGTTCTTCAGAAATACGTTAAAAACTATATGATCAGTGGAAAATTGATATTTGCAGTACATTTTAAAGAAACCACAACCAACCCTAACTTGACTTACCAGCGTCTCTTGTACTTGGGTACCATTCGCATCCCCCACGTGTGGCGGACTGGGGCTGTTCGTGTAATAACTCGTACTACTCGAAAGCGGCCCGGTAATATGTTGCGTTTGAAGGGATGCCGTCTGATGGTGCGCGGTCGTCGGCGTGGGATCCTGATGGTGGTACGCCCCTATCGAAGACTGTCTTCGAATTGTGCGTATCCTATGGCTGGAGGGAGGCGTGGACTGTGCTGCAAAAGAGAAAAAAACGTTCCCTGATTTTTGACTGGTACATTAAAATTGCATTTTCTTGTTTTTCTTCATAATATTATTTATTTGTTTCTATTGCATGCTACATTTATTTTGTTTGTGAATTTTTTATATAAGAATATCTAGGAATGTATAGAAATGTCTAGGAATGTATAGGAATGTCTAGGAATGTCTAAGAATGTATAGGAATGTGTAGGAATGTCTAGGAATGTCTAAGAATATCTAGGAATGTCTAAGAATATCTAAAAATGTCTAGGAACGTAAAGGAATGTATAGGAATATCTAGGATTGTTTAGGAATATTTAGGAATGTCTAGAAATATCTAGGAATGTCTAGGATTGTCTATCATTGTCTAGAAATGTCTAATGTCTAGGAATGTATAAGAATGTATAGGAAAGTATAGGAATGTTTAAGAATGCATAGGAATGTATAGAAATGTCTAGGAATAAATAGAAATGTCTAGGAATATATAGGAATGTCTAGGAATGGTCTAAGAATGCATAGAAATGTCTAGGAATAAATAGGAATGTCTAGAAATGTATAGGAATGGTCTAAGAATGCACAGGAATGTCTAGAAATGTATAGGAATGTCTATGAATGTCTAGAAATGTCTAAGAATGTCTAGCAAAGTCTACGAATGTTTAGGAATGTATAGGGATGTATAGGAATGTATAGAAATGTCTAGAAATGTCTATGAATGTCTAGGATTGTCTAGAAATGTGTAAGAATGTCTCAGAGTGTCCAAGAATGCATAGGAATGGTCTAAGAATGCATAGGAATGTCTAGGAATGTATAGGAATTTCTAGAAATGTATGGGAATCTATAGGAATGTCTAGAAATGTCTATGAATGTCTATCATTGTCTAGAAATGTTTAGGAATGTATAGGAACGAATAGTAATGTCTAGGAATGTATAGGAATGTCTAGGAATGTATAGGAATAAATAGAAATGTCTAGGAATGTATAGGAATGGTCTAAGAATGCATAGGAATGTCTAGGAATGTAAATGAATGTCTAGAAATGTCTGGGAATGTATAGGAATGTCTAGAAATGTCTAAGAATGTCTAGGAATGTATAGGCATGTATAGGAATGTATAGGAATGTATAGAAATGTATAGGAATGTATGAGAATGTCTCAGAGTGTCTAAGAATGCATAGGAATGTCTAGAAATGTCTAGGAATAAATAGGAATGTCTAGAAATATCTAGGAATCTATAGGAATGTCTAAGAATGGTCTAAGAATGCACAGAAATGTATAGGAATGTCTATCATTGTCTATAAATGTCTAAGAATGTCTAGCAAAGTCTATCAATATCTAGGAATGTATAGGGATGTATAGGAATTTATAGAAATGTCTAGGAATGTTTAGGAATACCTATGAATGTCTAGGATTGTCTAAGAATGTCTAGGAATGTCTCAGAGTGTCTAAGAATGCATAGGATTGGTCTAAGAATGCATAGGAATGTCTAGAAATGTCTAGGAATGTCTAGGAATGTATAGAAATGTCTAGGAATGTTTAGGAATGCCTATGAATGTCTAGGATTGTCTAAGAATGTCTAGGAATGTCTCAGAGTGTCTAAGAATGCATAGGAATGTCTTGGAATGGTTTAGAAATGTATGGGAATGTCTATCATTGTCTAGAAATGTCTATGTCTAGGAATGTCTAAGAATATGTAAGAATGTCTAGGAATGTCTAAGAATGTCTCAGAGTGTCTAGGAATGTATAGGAATGTCTAGGCATGTCTCAGAGTGTCCAAGAATGCATAGGAATAAATAGGAATGTCTAGGAATGTATAAGAATGTCTAGGAATGTATAGGAATGGTATAAGAATGCATAGGAATGTATAGGAATGTATGGGAATGTATAGGAATGTCTAGCAATGTCTAGGAATGTATGAGAATGTCTAGAAATGTATAAGAATGCCTAGGAATGTAAAGGAATGTATAGGAATGTCTAAGAATGTATGGGAATGTATAGGAATGTCTAGAAATGTCTAGCAATGTCTAGGAATGTATGAGAATGTCTAGAAATGTATAAGGATGGTATAAGAATGTATAGGAATGTATGGGAATGTCTAGCAATGTCTAGGAATGTATAGGAATGTATGAGAATGTCTAGGAATGTCTCAGAGTGTCTAAGAATGTCTCAGAGTGTCCAAGAATGCATAGGAATGTATAGGAATAAATAGAAATGTCTAGGAATGTATAAGAATGTCTAGAAATGTATAAGAATGGTATAAGAATGCATAGGAATGTCTAGGAATGTATAGGAATGTATGAGAATGTCTCAGAGTGTCTAAGAATGCATAGGAATATCTAGGAATGTATGAGAATGTCTAGAAATGTCTAAGAATGCATAGAAATGTCTAGGAATGTATAGGAATAAATAGGAATGTATGAGAATGTCTAGGAATGTCTCAGAGTGTCTAAGAATGTCTAGGCATGTCTCAGAGTGTCCAAGAATGCATAGGAATGTATAGGAATAAATAGAAATGTCTAGGAATGTATAAGAATGTCTAGAAATGTATAAGAATGGTATAAGAATGCATAGGAATGTCTAGGAATGTAAAGGAATGTATAGGAATGTCTATGAATGTATGAGAATGTCTAGAAATGTCTCAGAGTGTCTAAGAATGCATAGAAATGTCTAGGAATGTATAGGAATAAATAGGAATGTCGGAATGTCTATAAATATTGGGCACACATTTCTTTTAATATTTTTGAATAATATACCCTCGAATTCAGATATAAGAGACATTTTATCTAGGTGAATTGGCTAAAATTTTCATATTTTGAATTCAGGACGACTCTAAAGTTGAATTATTTCCAATTAGTAATGAAACATCCTGTAATCACATTTTTCGATGTCAATAACTTTTCTATAAAAACTATTTATACCTAAAAATCGTTATATTACAAAAAAATTACCTATCTACACTTTATCTACCAATTAATTTTGTACAGACGTGCAGATATTATATTTTGTATTATTTAATGTTTTACAAATGTAGGTGTTTGTTAGTATATTTTCTGAAATATAGCATGCCGCTCGTCATCTATCACTAATCCAAACCAAAATGTTAAGTTTCTTATACATACATAACTGGCAGAATATAAGACAGTGGCCTAATTTTTTTGAGGAATCAGATACCTATATCTAAATGACAAGTTTAAAAGCATCTAATAACTAAATAAAATAAATCTAGTCAAGATACTTTTAAATGTTATACATCAAATAAAACACTCTGTATAATATAAAATTGATATCCAGCTTTTTGTGAACTTATCTTCTTATTTAAATGACAATAAAAGGAATTAATAAACACATCGAATAATTCAAAAATTAAACTTATAATAAAAAAAAAGGTAGAAATCTAAAGACTAATTAGATTTTTTTTAATGGAATTAAAAAATTTAATGATTTTAATTAAATGCATTTTGAAAAACAATATAAAACATTAATATATGTAGAAATAGTATACAGAGTGTTTTTTACTAGCCCTGCTTAACTATCTTTTAATTTCTTATTTAAATTTTGTAATTTTAAAATTATGAAAACTTACACGAAAGATAGACGTGAAATTAACTATCAATATACCAACGGATAGAGAGAAAGAGAGAGAAACAGTGCTAGGTGTCGTTTTCCACAATAATATTCCAAACTATAAAATTTTATGTAGGTATTAAATATGAAAATAAGCAAAATCTTTAAAAGGATGGTACAGAATTTCTAATAGATCTTTGGCAAATATAAAATTGGCGAACCAAATCCTGGTTGTGTATCTTTCTCTTCCCAAGGTAGTTCACATTGAAAAGTTAACCCTAGATCATCCCCACCCAGGTCCTAGTAATCTAATTATTGAGTAAGAACAATTATAGAAAAGGGAGTAATGATCCTCTGCACTCTGCAGTAACCTACAGTTGTTATAGCAAAAGTAGGAATCAAATAAGAACAGAGAACAGTCTAGAAATGTCTAGGATTGTCTAAAAATGTATAGGAATGTATAGAAATGTATAGGAATGTATAGGAATGTATAGGAATATATAGGAATGTATGGGAATGTCTAGGAATGTCTAAGAGTGTCTAAGAATGCATAGGAATGTCTAAGGAATGTAACGGAATGTCTAGAAATATCTAGACATGTCTAGGAATGTATAGGAATGTATGGGAATGTATAGGAATGTCTAGGAATATATAGGAATGTAAAGAAATGTATTGGAATGTATAGGAATGTCTAAGAATGTATATGAATGTCTAGGAATGTCTAGGAATGTCTAAAAATGTATATGAATGTCTAGAAATGTCTCGAAATGTCTAGGAATGTAAAGGAATGTATAGGAATGTCTAGGAATGTATAGGAATGTATAGGAATGTATAGGAATGTATAGGAATGAATAGGAATGTATAGGAATGTCAAGAAATGTCTAAGAATGCATAGGAATGTCTAAGAATGTATAGGAATATATAGGAATATATTGGAATGTATAGGAATAAATAAGAATGTATAGGAATGTATAGGAATGTATAGGAATGTATAGGAATGAATAGGAATATATAGGAATGTATGGGAATGTCTAGGAATGTTTAAAAATGTATAGGAATATCAAGAAATGTCAAAAAATGTATAGGAATATCAAGAAATGTATAGGAATATCAATAAATGTCTAGGAATGTATAGGAATATCAAGAAATGTCTAGGAATGTATAGGAATATATAGGAATGTCTAAGGAATGTATAGGAATATATAGGAATGTATAGGAATATATAGGAATGTATAGGAATGTATGGGAATGTATAGGAATGTCTAAGAATGTATATGAATGTCTATAAATGTCTAGGAATGTCTAAAAATGTATAGGAATGTATCGGAATGTCTATAAATGTCTAGGAATGTCTAAAAATGTATATGAATGTCTAGAAATGTAAAGGAATGTATAGGAATCTCTAGAAATGTATAGGAATGTCAAGAAATGTCTAGGAATGTTTAAGAATGCATAGGAATGTCTAAGAATGTATAGGAATATACAGGAATGTATAGGAATATATTGGAATGTATAGGAATAAATAAGAATGTATAGGAATGTCTAAGAGTGTCTAAGAATGCATAGGAATGTATAGGAATGTATAGGAATGTCTAGGAATGTATAGGAACGTATAGGAATGAATAGGAATATATAGGAATGTATAGGAATGTATAGGAATGTCTAGGAATGTATAGGAATATCAAGAAATGTCTAAAAATGTATAGGAATATCAAGAAATGTATAGGAATATCAAGAAATGTATAGGAATATCAAGAAATGTCTAGGAATATCAAGAAATGTCTAGGAATATATAGGAATGTATAGGAATATAGGAATGTATAGGAATATATAGGAATGTATTGGAATGTATAGGAATGTATGGGAATGTATGGGAATGTATAGGAATGTCTAAGAATGTATATGAATGTCTATAAATGTCTAGGAATGTCTATAAATGTCTATAAATGTCTAAAAATGTATAAGAATGTCTAGAAATGTATAGGAATGTCTTAAAAGGTCTAAGAATGTCTAGAAGTGTCTAGGAATGTCTAAAAATGTAAAGGAATGTATAGGAATATATAGGAATGTCTAGGAATATCTAAGAATGTCTAAAAATGTATAGGAATGTCTATAAATGTCTAGGAATGTCTAAAAATGTATAGAAACGTATGGGAATGTATAGGAATGTCTAAAACTGTATATGAATGTCTAAAAATGTATAGGAATGTCTAAAAATGTATGGGAATGTATAGGAATGTCTAGGAATGTCTAAAAATGTATAGGAATTTCTAGAAATATATAGGAATGTCTAGGAACTGGTAGCAGAAAAAAGAAAAGTAAGAAAGAAATGGCAGATGACAAGATCACCAGAAGAAATAAATATATTAAATAGGGATACTCAAAGACTAAGAAGAGAAATTCTAAATCAGAAAGAAGAATCCTTTAACAGATCAGAAACCACTCATAGAATGACAGATTATTTAGTCGTTCGGAGGAATTTTGTTTGAAACTCTTTCTTCGAAAAAGTTTAGTTCTAAAAAAAACACTATTTTTCGTAAAATCTTAGTTCGAAAATTGTTCTATTCATTAATGTGTATCTCGAAAATACTTTTGTTAAGTTTTTTTTTATTAATTTTCTCATTTTAAGTACAATTTTTTCGCGAAGCAACTAGCAATGACTCCAGGCCGTATAGGTTAGGTAAATTAGTTCAAATTTGTTTATTTTATGTATATTTTTTGCTTGTTTACTGTCAACACATTTTTCTTCTTTTTTGTTATTGTAAATCTGTAATGATGATGAATAAAGACTTATTATTATAGTACATTGAATTTTGTAAAATACTATTGTGGAAAACAATGCTTAGATGACAAGTCTAACGTAAAACTTACCTATAAGTGGTTGGTGTGTTTTGTGTAACCTTAGGTCTGGAATACTTCGTTTGAGTTGAGATAGCATGCCTAAACACATGATATTTATTTTTTTTTATTTTATAGCACAGATTTTTAGTTTGCCATAGTGACAAAAACAACCTAATAGAAAACATCTTTTCACATTTAATTTGATAGCGTTTGTTACTAAAGTTCCCTTTCATTTTTGCCTACAACTTTCATTCAAATATGTCTAGGAATGTCTAGAAATATCTAGGAATGTCTAGGAACGTCCAGGTATCTCTAGAAATGTCTATGAATGTCTAGAAATGTCTAGAAATATCTAGGAATGTCTAAGAATGTCTAAAAATATCTACGAATGTCTAAGAATGTCTATGAATGTCCAGGTGTGTCTAAGAATGTCTAGGAATGTCTAGAAATGTTTAGGAATGACTAGGAACGTCCAGATATGTCTAGAAATGTCTATGAATGTCTAGAAATGTCTAGAAATATCTAGGAATGTCTAAAAATATCTACGAATGTCTAAGAATGTCTATGAATGTCCAGGTGTGTCTAGGAATGTCTAGTAATGTCTAGAAATGTTTAGGAATGACTAGGAATGTGTAAAAATGTCTAAAAATATCTAGGAATGTATAGAAATGTCTATGAATGTCTAGGAATGTCTATAAATATTTAGGAATGTCTAAGAATGTCTAATGATGTCTAGAAATGTCTAAAAATGTCTAAGAATGTCTAAAAATGTCTAGAAATATCTACGAATGTCCAGGTGTGTCTAGGAATGTCTAGTAATGTCTAGGAATGTCTAGAAATATCTAGGAATGTCTAGGAACGTCCAGGTATGTCTAGAAATGTCTATGAATGTCTAGAAATATCTAGGAATGTCTAAAAATATCTACGAATGTCTAAGAATGTCTATGAATGTCCAGGTGTGTCTAGGAATGTCTAGTAATGTCTAGGAATGTCTAGAAATGTTTAGGAATGACTAGGAATGTGTAAAAATGTCTAAAAATATCTAGGAATGTATAGAAATGTCTATGAATGTCTAGGAATGTCTAAGAATGTCTAATAATGTCTAGAAATGTCTAAAAATGTCTAAAAATGTCTAGAAATATCTAGGAATGTCTAAAAATATCTACGAATGTCTATGAATGTCCAGGTGTGTCTAGGAATGTCTAGTAATGTCTAGGAATGTCTAGAAATGTTTAGGAATGACTAGGAATGTGTAAAAATGTCTAAAAATATCTAGGAATGTATAGAAATGTCTATGAATGTCTAGGAATGTCTATAAATATTTAGGAATGTCTAATAATGTCTAGAAATGTCTAAAAATGTCTAAGAATGTCTAGAAATATCTACGAATGTCTATGAATGTCCAGGTGTGTCTAGGAATGTCTAAGATTGTCTAAAAATGTTTAGGAATGTCTAGGAATGTGTAAAAATGTCTATAAATATCTAGGAATGTATAGAAATGTCTAGGAAAGTCTAGGAATGTCTATAAATGTTTATGAATGTCTAAGAATGTCAAAAAATTTCTAGAAATATCTACGAATGTCCAGGTGTGTCTAGGAATGTCTAAGAATGTCCAGGTGTGTCTAGGAATGTCTAAGAATGTCCAGGTGTGTCTAGGAATGTCTAAGATTGTCTAAAAATGTTTAGGAATGTGTAAAAATGTCTAGGAATGTATAGAAATGTCTAGGAATGTTTACGAATGTCTATAAATGTTTAGGAATGTCTAATAATGTCTAGAAATGTCTAAAAATGTCTACGAATGTCTATAAATGTTTAGGAATGTCTAGGAATGTTTAATAATGTCTAGAAATGACTAGGAATTTTATATACTTTCTACTTATTTTTAACTCGCATTATCAGTTACTGATAATATTGTAGGCATAAACAAAGGGACCCGTTAGTTTTTTTTTTTTAAACACTCAATACATTTTCTAACTAATGGATCTGTACTATAAATATTTGAACATATAAAAAACATAAATGATATTAAACGAAATGATTTGAGATATTAAAACTGAAAAGGATCGCAAATGTAATAGGGGGAGTTAAAAAATGAAGTTTAAAACCATTCATAATACTTTTATAATTGTTTATGCTTAAAAAATTGTTGCTAGCACTTAAACGCAATATATTTAAGTCATGGAATCATAAGTGGCGTGTTATTGGTATTTTACTAAAAAAAATACCTCTACATCTACTATTTACATATGGTTTTCAAGTTTGTGTTGAAAAGTGTATAGTCCAATCATAAGGCGACGTATAGTACATGTGATCTTGCAAAAAAATAAGGCCAAGAAAACGTACGCTTGGTAATTGAAATTGTAAGACCATAAACCGAAGATTCATTAAAATAAAGAATATCTAGGAATGTCTAAGAATGTTTAGGAATGTCTAGAAATATCTAGGAATGTCTAAAAATGTTTAGAAATGTCTAGGAATGTCCAAGAATGTCTAAGAATGTCTAAGAATGTCTAAGAATGTTTAGGAATGTCTAAGAATATCTAAGATTGTCTAAGAATGTCTAAGAATGTCTAAGAATGTCTAAAAATGTCTAAGAATGTCTAAAGAATGTCTAGAAATGTCTAAGAATGGTTAGGAATGTCTAGAAATGTTTAGGAATGTCTATAAATATTTAGGAATGTCTAGAAATATCTAAAAATGTTTAGGAATGTCTAGAAATGTTTAGGAATGTCTAGAAATATCTAGGAATGTCTAAAAATGTTTAGAAATGTCTAGGAATGTCCAAGAATGTCTAAGAATGTTTAGGAATGTCTAAGAATATCTAAGATTGTCTAAGAATGTCTAAGAATGTCTAAAAATGTCTAAGAATGTCTAAAGAATGTCTAGAAATGTCTAAGAATGGTTAGGAATGTTTAGGAATGTCTAGAAATGTTTAGGAATGTCTATAAATATTTAGGAATGTCTAGAAATATCTAAAAATGTTTAGGAATGTCTAGAAATGTTTAGGAATGTCTAGAAATATCTAGGAATGTCTAAAAATGTTTAGAAATGTCTAGGAATGTCCAAGAATGTCTAAGAATGTCTAAGAATGTTTAGGAATGTCTAAGAATATCTAAGATTGTCTAAGAATGTCTAATAATGTCTAAGAATGTCTAGAAATGTCTAAGAATGTTTAGGAATGTCTAGAAATGTTTAGGAATGTCTATAAATATTTAGGAATGTCTAGAAATATCTAAAAATGTTTAGAAATGTCTAGGAATGTCCAAGAATGCCTAAGAATGTCTAAGAATGTCTAGAAATGTCTAAGAATGGTTAGGAATGTTTAGGAATGTCTAGAAATGTTTAGGAATGTCTATAAATATTTAGGAATGTCTAGAAATATCTAAAAATGTTTAGGAATGTCTAGAAATGTTTAGGAATGTCTAGAAATATCTAGGAATGTCTAAAAATGTTTAGAAATGTCTAGGAATGTCCAAGAATGTCTAAGAATGTCTAAGAATGTTTAGGAATGTCTAAGAATATCTAAGATTGTCTAAGAATGTCTAATAATGTCTAAGAATGTCTAGAAATGTCTAAGAATGTTTAGGAATGTTTAGGAATGTCTAGAAATGTTTAGGAATGTCTATAAATATTTAGGAATGTCTAGAAATATCTAAAAATGTTTAGAAATGTCTAGGAATGTCCAAGAATGCCTAAGAATGTCTAGAAATGTCTAAGAATGTCTAAGATTGTTTAGAAATGTCTAATAATGTCTAAGAATGTCTATGAATATCTAAAAATGTCTAAGCATGTCTATGAATGTTCGGGTATGTCTAGGAATATTTAGAAATGTCCAGGTATGTCTAGAAATGTCCAGATATGTCTAGGAATGTCCAGGTATGTCTATGAATGTCTATGAATGTCTATGAACGTGCAGAAATGTCTATGAATGTGTAGAAATGTCTAGGAATGTCCAGGTATGTCCGGAAATTTGTGGATCTCCCTGTATACAGAAAATAAATTTTCCAATAAATAAAATCCGGAAATTGTGAATCTCCCTGTACACAGAACATAAATTTTCTAATAAATAAAACCCGGAAATTGTGAATCTCCCTGTATACAGAAAATTAATTTTCAGTAACTAAAATGAATTAAATATAACCGTTAGAAAATATGAGAAAACAATTGAAACGGAAATTTACGAATCGCCCTGTATACAGAAAATAAATGTTTCAATAAATACAATTTAATTTGGAATAATACAGAAAAATATTTATTCCGAAGATTTGTGGATCTTCCTGTACATAGAAAATTAATTTTCCAATAAATAAAATCTGGAATTTGTGAATCTTCCTGTATACAGAAAATTAATTTTCAGTAACTAAAATGAATTAAATATAACCGTTAGAAAATATGAGAAAACAATTGAAACGGAAATTTACGAATCGCCCTGTATACAGAAAATAAATGTTTCAATACAATTTAATTTTGAATAATACAGAAAAATATTTATTCCGAAGATTTGTGGATCTCCCTGTACATAGAAAATTAATTTTCCAATAAATAAAATCTGGAATTTGTGAATCTTCCTGTATACAGAAAATTAATTTTCAGTAACTAAAATGAATTAAATATAACCGTTAGAAAATATGAGAAAACAATTGAAACGGAAATTTACAAATCGCCCTGTATACGGAAAATAAATTTTCAATAAATAAAATTAATACCAAAAAAAAAAACAGGAAAATATTTATTCTGGAAATTTGAGGATCTCCCTATATATAGAAAACAAATTTTCCAATATATAAAATTAAATAAATATCCTGGTTAAATAATAAAGAAACGAAAATAAAGTATTTAAATATTACTTCTGGATTAAACAGAAAAAAAAAAATAAAAACGGAAACTTGGGAATCTCCCTGTATACCGAAAATAAATTTCACAACAAATTATTTATAAATAACGGTTGATTGTGTGTGTAATTGGATTTTATGACGGTTGATTAATAAAGGAGCCAAAATAATTACCACGAGAATTTACGACACACCCTGTATTCGGAAAATGAATTTATCAATAACTAAAATTAAATTTCCCGGTTAAATAATGAAGAAATGGAAAATAATTAAAACGGCGTAATTATTTTAAATATTACGGTTAATTTTTACAAAGAAAACAAGTAGTTACGACGCTCCCTGTATACAATAAATAAAGGTAAAAAAACAAAAAAAATGTTTATAAAGAACAGTTGAATATTGTAGGAAAATTAGAGTGAATTACAAGCAATAGTTTTTATTAATTTAAACGATTATTTCAGCACCCCTCGTATTTAGACTCCAGCTGGCAATTTGATAACCGACCATCGATCGACTGATCTACCACGATATAGAAGCGAAATTGTACTAAAATGCGGACAACAAATCGTTTGGATATTTGCGCGATCTCCGATCGGATCGGCGTACTTGCATTAGAGGAAATTTGTGTGGGGGCTCGTTTAAGAGTTATTTGGTGACGGGAAATGACGAAATTATTTCGGAGAAATAAATAAATAATAATATAAAAAAAAACATGGTGCGAGCAAGGTCCGGACTGGCAATTAATTAGGGCTTCTCTTTAGTAGATATTTTTAAAATTATATATTTAAAATTTAGTGACTTCGTCACAATATATTTTCCAAATATTTAAATTTAATCACGAAACAAAAGTAATTATGATTCAAACGGATCCTTCATAAATTGAAAGTGAGCTTATTAGTGTTATTGAGCACAAATATTTTATTTTCTTTTCAATAATGTATTTTAGTTCAATGACGCAGTGTTTCGATTCCATGTAATAATAATAATAATTATGAATGGTTTTAAAAACTTTTTTTCTATATTATAAGCAATGCACGTAATGCCTACATCACAATATTCATTCATTCATTCAAAAATGTCGAAATGTTTCGTTTTTTTTTATGTAGGGATTAAAAATTTTTTAAGGGGGAAAACAAACAAGTAATTTTGCAAATCAAAGTTTAAACTCATTTTGTAACTACCTGTTATGGAATTCAATGTTGACGATCTTCTTTTTTCTTCGCCGAAATCCAAATTTAATGGAGTCACGTCTTGGCCGGCTTTTTCTGTTGAAAATTCTAAAATACCGTGTCCTGAAAAAACAAAAAAAAGTAAAAATTAAGATTTATTACTGTTTTTTTGTATTTGCTTTGCCTACCTGACTCGGATTCGTCGCTGTATTGCGACTCCTGTCGACCGTTCACGGAATTTCCCCGACTAGACAAACCGTTGGATCTCGCTGATGGCACGCCTCTAAAATAGCGAGTTTCTTTATCTTTTGGATAAAAGGATCGCCTAGGAACAACTCCGGCTTGCTCATCCTGAAAAAATAAAATTAGATAAATATTTATTTTTTCGTTTCGTAGGACCTAAAACTGATTCTTGAGGTACGCCACGTAACTGTAAATACGGCAAATAAAGATTGTTAATGTATTAAGGTATTTAAATACAGAGCTTATTTTTTCTATAAATTGGTAGTTGTTATTAGTAAAGCACGTGTACATTAATTACAATTTATGCACAAGCGGAACGTAAAGTGCACTCTAGCAATAATATTAGCGGACTTTACACCCTAATATTTATCCTTTTTTATGAAATAAATTGTTAATAAGGAGTTTCTACAAAAAAAAAAAAAATCATTCAGCCTCCATCATCTCCATTTAGTAGCCCCCTCTGAGTAGTTTAGAAGCGTTTGGCTTTTTAAATTGCGCGAGCCATATTGAAAATTAGTTAGATGGAGACTCTAACTTGAAAAATTTGATTATGACGTTATATATAAAAAAGGCCAGGTAAATATTAATGCTGATGCTTTGTCAAGAATTTTTATAAACGTTCTAGAAAACTGACTCAACCAACATTCCATAATATGACTGACAATTCTGGACTTTTAACTGTTAAATTAGAAAAGAATTAAAACATAATTGACTTCTAGTAATTTGTAAGAATTTTCAAAGTAATTTAAGTCACTACAAGACAGATTTTTCGACCTACAAACAATAACAAAAAATAAACTAATAAACTAGACCAAGTCAGATTTTGAAGACACATTTGTTACATTTCAAATAATGAAAGGACGCCCGGAAAATAGCGGGATATATACGTATATATATATAAAAAAATTCTAAAGATTTGGATAAGGTTGATCATAGAAACACGGTCTTATAATTGTATAATTAAGATTATTTTAGTGGAGTCACTATTTTTAAAATTTGTTTAAATTTATAAATAATGCTATTTTTGGTAAAACAATGGAGAATATTCGGATGAGGGTCAATATCAAAGTTTTCAAAGTGTACAAGATTGTAACGAAATTCTTATAATTATTATCAGAATTCAAATAATATTAAAATCATTTAAAAAGTCAATTATTATAGAATCAAAAGTACTTACATCTCTTAAATTAAACGTAATTTCTAAATTATTCAAAAAATGTGTGTAGAACTCAGGATACAGTTCCAATACGTCTAACAAATCATCTCTATGGATTTTATGAAGATCACAGTAAGTCAGCGCTCGAACATTACAACCAGATTTTTCCCAATGTGGGATGTAAACATGGATTCCTCACCGAAAATATCGTATTTACCTAAAATAAAACAAAAAATATACATTTTGTACAACTATCAAAAATTTTTTAGAATATCTGTCTTGCAGATCTTTTTAGACAGCTTTAAATTAATTAATGACCAAGAAGATATGACCGCAGCCATACTGGTAGAACGAACCAATAGAATAAATGCAAATACAAGGCACTTAAAAATGATAAGGAAAAAGAAAAATATAAGAAATGGTTGTCTCCATAGTCCCTAAATGGTGACGTATATGGCAAGGGATACGGAAATAGCGTTAGGAATGTAATAATATGACCTATAGAAAGACAATAGAAGGTAGATAATAAATAGGCTGTTTCTTATTATTGACAACAGACTGGTTAGGGAGGAAGTATTCTCCAAGATCATGTAATTTTCTCTCAAAAGAGGCGTAAGAAGGCAGCAACTTCATGAAAGAGAAAAATACTCTAGAATAAGATCGTATATTTCCACAAATTATAAAAATAGTAGAGATAGGAAGTATCGGTGAATCCCCAAGTGTTACAAAAGGTTTTCCGAAGGTGTTGGAAAACAGCCCATCTCCTGTTTAAAAGAAGGAGGAAAACTCAGTACAGATATATCTCGAAAAGTATTTACGAAACTTTTGATTAGTGAAAGACTCGAAAAAAAGTTAGTAGAAAGACAGGTTTTTAACAAATAACCAATATTGGTTTTCGGTAAAGGATTATCCACTATAGAGGAAGTCAGAAAAATTTTAAGTAATAATAATAATAATAATAATAATAATAATTATAATAATAATAATAATAATAATATAATAATAATACTCTCCCTAATTCACCCCCTTACGAGTGAATTTCAACCCCTGAAGTCGACTGAACGACTTGTATAGGGGAGGGGACGGATATTATTATTTACCGTGGCGCTCCGGGGCGACTTAAGGATGATTGATAGTGCCATTTGACTTACAGGTGAGGAAAACCCGGAAAACCTCACCAACCATCATAAACCACACCCACCATCACCTAAGTATGACAGAGGAAAGCAAGTGATCGACGGTGATTTTCATCGATGTTAAGAATGCCTTCAACACGGTCGTATGGAGTTGTGAAAGATCGGTATAAAGAATTACTTCGTTAATATAATAACAAAGTATCTATCGGACAAATGTCTGAAAAGACATCCTACAAAGAATAACAATAAAGAAAGGAAACCCAGGACTATTAAAATTTGTACAACAGAATATATATTTGTTACTTTTACAAAAAAAAATATTAATTTTTATTATTTATTAATTTTTATTATTATTTATTATTTTTTTTCTATCAATTTCTATTGATTTCTATCGATTTCTATCGATTTATATCAATTTCGGATCAATTTCAATCAATTTCTATAAATTTTCTATCAATTTTCTATCAATTTTCTATCAATTTTTATCAATTTCTATCAATTTCTATCAATTTCTATCAATTTTTATCAATTTTCTATCAATTTTTTATCAATTTCTATCAATTTCTATCAATTTCAATAAATTTCAATAATTTCAATAAATTTTCAATAAATTTCAATAAATTTCAATAAATTTCAATAAATTTCAATAAATTTCAATAAATTTCAATAAATTTCAATAAATTTCAATAAATTTCTATCGATTTCTATCGGTTACTATCGATTTTAAATTGATTTCAATAAATTTTCTATCGATTTTTTATCGATTTTCTAACGATTTCTAACGATTTCTAACGATTTTCTATAGATTTCTATCGATTTCTATCAATTTTCTATCAATTTCTATCAATTTCTATCAATTTTTTATCAATTTTTATCAATTTCTGTCAATTTCTATCAATTTCTATCAATTTTCTATCAATTTCTATCATTTTTCTATCAATTTCTATCAATTTCTATCAATTTCTATCAATTTCAATAAATTTCTATCGATTTCTATCGGTTACTATCGATTTAAATCGATTTCAATAAATTTCTATCGATTTTTATCGATTTCTATAGATTTCTATCGATTTCTATCAATTTCTATCAGTTTCTATCAATTTTCTATCAATTTTTATCAATTTCTATCAATTTCTATCAATTTCTATCAATTTCTATCAATTTCTATCAATTTATATCAATTTATATCAATTTATATCAATTTATAATCAATTTCTATCAATTTCTATCAATTTCTATCAATTTTCTATCAATTTTATATCAATTTTATATCAATGTATATCAATTTATATCAATTTATATCAATTTATATCAATTTCTATCAATTTCTATCAATTTCTATCAATTTATATATTATATCAATTTATATCAATTTATATCAATTTATATCAATTTATATCAATTTATATCAATTTATATCAATTTATATCAATTTATATCAATTTATATCAATTTATATCAATTTATATCAATTTATATCAATTTATATCAATTTATATCAATTTATATCAATTTATATCAATTTATATCAATTTATATCAATTTATATCAATTTATATCAATTTATATCAATTTTATATCAATTTTATAATCAATTTATATCAATTTATATCAATTTATATCAATTTATATCAATTTATATCAATTTATATCAATTTATATCAATTTATATCAATTTATATCAATTTATATCAATGTATATCAATTTCTGTCAATTTTGATTAAGTTCTTTTTTACCAAAATCAAAATTTTATTTTCGTATGTAATCTATAATAATGACATTTAAATTAACCACTAATAGAATATATACCAGTAAAATTCAAATTATTAGAGTGAAAAACTTACCTAAAATAGGCCATAACAATATCATCTCTTAATATCTCTATGGAACCTCTTGATATGAAATAAAGACAAGTCAAGACGTCTCCGCGATGCACCAAAGTGTCACCTGGCGGCGCGTGAGTCGTTTTGAACTTTTAAAGATAGAGCTCTGCAAAGAATACAAAAAAATATATTATCTAGAATATTATTGCCACATTTTTTCCAAATATAGTAATTACAAGTTTAAAAAAATAAACCAAATAAAAATAAATGCAAACTACGAGGTAACCTCAAGTGTATCTGTGAATATAAATGTTTAAAGTATAAAATCATTAAAACTCAAGAGTCAATAATATAAATGCAAACGGCTTAAAGATACCGGTAGTTCAAAAATCATACAACATGAATTTGTACGCTCAAAAATCTTCTTCATTATCATCTTTATCAAAAAATATACTTGATATACTGAGGACACTGGGGAGTAGAATAAGTTTGTTATAGTTCTGATATAATATACCAACGAAATTTATGGAAATACAAAAAAAAAACGAAGGCATGATTACATATCTTTTAAAGGATTTAAAAAAAAAAACGAGCTAAATATTCTATTACTAAAAATTCTCACCTTAAGCAACCCGGACTGGCACCATCGAACACACTACAATTCTGCAACAAATTCCTATTCAGATGCAGACAAATATCGGCCTGCAGGCATTCCGGAAAACCCCTTCAGAACGGAATTCATATCGATGCCATTCGTATACGTCCAAGCGTGCTGAAAAATACTCCTCTAAACGCTGCCCTTAGCGGGTTAGGAATTTGATGAAACCGGGATAAAACTCCCTCACCCTTAACATTTGCGTGTGGTACCTAGCGGTGCCCGAAATACAATCGTTGGATGATCGCCGAAACATTACCGAAGATGCTGGCGTACATCAAAGCTGAAATGAGATTACATTTTTGTTTGTTTTTTACCTACAAATAAAAAAATTGCTTGACTTACATCCAGCCAGCATGACGCAAAATAGTGAAAAATCTTCTCAGCAATCGGTTATTGGGCGCGACATTTCCAAACCCCACACTAGTTAGCGACGTAAAACGTAAAAGTAGAGGGCCGTGACGTATCTGCTACGTATACTCGGTCCTCCGGTGTTATTTGGGTAATAATACTGTTGAGTATCGTTGGCCAAAACGTCTAACCAGCCTATTCTGGCCGGAAGCATCGGTCGCTCCTGCGTTTCCGATTGCGTACCTATAATAATTAACGGTTGTTCATTTAGACCCTAAAAAACTACCGGTTAGATTAGATCGAGACGACAAAAAATGTATTAAAAATAGTCTCTTATCTGATTGTACATGCAGGTGAGGTGGAAAACAAGTTGTACTTTGACCGGGCGGAAAGTGACGCTATGTTTTAAGTACACAAAATAGGAGCTGAAGCTATTGATTCACAATTTTTTGTTAATAAATTAATACGGGAAGGTCTTAACCAAGTGTGTTCAAAAAGACAAGCTTAAACTAACAACATATACCTAAACAGCGAAGAAATTCTGTTTAAACCTATGAATAATGCTGTTTTTGGTAAAACAATGAAGAACATCCGTAAGACTTTTCTAATGTTTTTTCGATGTTAACAATCAATATGGTTGGGATGTCACTATATCTACCTTGTTAACGCTTTAAATGATTTGATACAAATATTGATGATACAAGAAGTCGACCTTGAGTATCCGCAACATCTTCATGATACCACAGAAGAAAGAACAATACTAAAAAGAAACATAGGACTAGTTCCACCACAAAATTACTCTGAGAAAACGTACCTAGTCACCATATACTTAGCTCTGAGTTGTACTGTGAATAGATACGTTTTCTCAGAGTATCTTTGTTGTTGTATTAGCTATACGTTTCTTTTCTGTAATGATACTCATAAAGATCTACTCAGCATATCAATCCAAAACAAGTCCAAAACGAAATATATTATCCATAATAGAGCTATAAAATAAGATTTGGTTAACGAGTTAATCTTAACGAAAATACATAGAGCTCGAAAATTAAAGCAAACAATTACCTCAAAACAAAGCTTCGTAAAAATACCACAAATGAATTTTAAAAAATGTGTTTAAACTTATGAATATTGATGTTTCTGGTAAAACAATGGAGAACATCCGAAAGTGGGTCAATATTCGCCTTCTAATTGAGTGGAGTTGACAATTTTAGAGCCGAGGCATACATAAGCAGGTTAAAGTTAAAAAACTGCACCATTTTTGTGGTTTTAACACACTATATTTTAGTTACTCTTCTATGTTTGATATTTTACGTCATTTATTTTATTTTCATTCACTTTCTTTGTTGTTTAAATGTAAAATTGATTAAAAAAGTTACTAGATTTTGACATGTCTTAGATTAATTACATCATGTTATTATATCAATTTTTAATTTGTCAATTTGTTAAAAATGTTACTTGAAAATTTTTTAATATTTATTTCTCAATAAGTTCCACGGTTTACTATATATATTTTATTGTATAAAACAAAATCTAAATATTTCAAAAACCTTATTTTTAGTCTTTTTCTACTCCATCTAATCAATAAATAATAGTATAATTCGAGAATTGTTGTTGAGGACTTACTTTTTCGTGAGGCACTGTACAAATACATTTAAAAAAAAATCTCAAAAATTTGCAAGGTATGGTAATAGTTAAAAGTTCAGTATTAGATAAATAAGGACTTCAACTATTAGAAAAAAATTAATTTTAGTCATGATCTAATAACTTTTTTTTAACATTGGAGGCGAGAGGTGTGGCGAAAGGACCTCCTTAATTAGATATCTGGGACTGTCAAAGTCAGTTTCAACTACCTGGATTGATGGCTGCAATGGGATTACAAAATTATGTTTCCAAATTCGAAAGGAATGAGAATTAAATTGTAGATATTTTTAGAAATTTTGATGCGACAAAGAATGATAAGGGTGTGAACTCATCTGGTATAAAAACTAATATAATATATTGAATATCTCGAAAGTAAAACAATAAAAACTGTTGGTTAAAATTCAATTTAATGAGACACATGCACATACGAAAAGTTGTAATGCATGGCAACTGAAGTTTTCGGCTTTCAAACTTTGCGGCGTAAAGTTAGATTTTTATCTAACTTTTGATAAATATGCAGGTAGAATTTTTGAAAAGTTCGATACATATGGGTAGCGATACAACTAACGTTTTGTTATATAGGGTTGGACAAAATTGGCTATACACCCGATTTGTATCAATGAAGTTTTTTGTATAATTATTTTAACAATCTTCAATTTTATATGTTGCGGTTTATATAGTTCTGTTAAATAACTTTCTTGATGAAATTAAATTAGTCTGGAGATATTTTTTGTTCTAATTCTGAACCAATTTTGATCCATCTGCAATATACTACCTTACAGTTTTATTTTCCATGACTTGAAATATGTTTAACATCTTTTTCGATCAGATGTTTATATTTATGCATAAAGGAATTCAATATTTTCTAAATTCCTCAACTATTCTGTCATAAATAATCCCTGATGTTGTATTTAATTCATTTGTTATCTTAAATTATAATTCTTACCATATGCAGGCCATCCAGTGTGCTATGAGCGCGAACGTGGCCATCAGAAGCAAAAGAACAGCAGCTCCATATTCGGAATACCTATCGATCTTTCTCGCTACCCGAACTAACCTCAAAAGCCGGGCCGTTTTCAAAAGACCAATTAACGTAGTAGTCTGGAAAATAAAACGTGGAAACCGCCTGTTAGAACAAAATGAAAATAGTTCTGGTAGTGGCTGTTAAACCGCAACGATTGCATAGAGAATAAAATGTTAATTTTAGGATCTTAAAATGTAATAAAAAACAAAATTGCTAGTTTCAATAGAAGACTCAACTAAAGTTTAGTATTCCACAGGTAGCGCCAAAATTTTTCCTAAAATTTATGTAACAGGTACCTTAAAAGGCAAACAATCGCTCTGGGATTTTGATATATAGTTATTTTAAAAGAAATGAATAGTAAAAACAATAGCGGTTTAACAGTGATCACCATTTACTATTTGAAACGAAAAATCATAAAAGTGTGTAGTGATTTATGTTGGATTACAACAATCAAACAATAATTTCTTAAACTTATGCTAGATATGTGTATTATAGTATGTGTATACATGAATTTTCATTACGGTATCTGGGAAGTGGAGGAAAATTTAAAAGTCAATACATTCGAGAAATAAAAAAAAAATGGTGTAATTACTAATCAAATTGTTTAATATTTTTGTTAATACTGAGTAGGTTTTTCATAAAATTTATCTATAAGGTATTTTAAGTAGAAAGTGACATATATATACATGGTGTTTAAAAAAAAGGTGGACCTGTTGCTAGGATAAATAGAAAACTTCTTTAGTTTCTACTAAACACTGGTCAATTCTGATATTGACCCTCTTCCGGATGTTTTCCATTGTTTTACCAAAAACAGCATTACTCATAAATTTAAACAGAATTTTTAAAATTAATTTGCAAAAATTAAAGCACGAAAAGCTCAATTCAATCTTAAAAATGGATGCCGTTATACGTAAAATTTTTACTAAACGAGCCCCACCTATTTTGCAGTGTTCTACCCATCCTATCAACGGGATCACCTTTGTATATTTCAAAATGTATCAAATTTCATCACATCATATGAAATCGATAAACGTAATATATTTTGATCTCGTCTATCTACACAAACTTTGCGAAATATCTTGTATGTATATAATATACGCATTTTTATGTATTTTCTAGAATGTATCGACTTTAATTTTCACAGATCACCCATAATTTTAAATTGTTTTGAAGTAATTATTATAAAAATAGTTCATGCTACTTAATCATGCTTATACTATTGTGCTTTTGTAGATATAAGGCTGTAGGTGTATTTTATTATTTTTGTATACAGTACCTGCGATAATTTACCTAAAATTTAAGTCATAAAAATTGAAAAAAGTACATTTATATCATGAATTTGGTTCCGTTATAGTTATATATATTTATAACTGTTTTTAGGACCATGAACGTTTCTTATGCAAACGGGTCTAACCGTCAAAATGTCTTAATTTTTCGAGATATAGGGTGATTAAAATGGACACCAAAAATCGTTCTGAAATATTTTTGGAATTTATGTGCTCATTATATGTAGTCAATATAAATATTTAATATTGCCACTCACAGGGTGATTCATAAAATTCCGTAGATATTTTATTTACAATGTACGTGTCAAATATTGTGTATTTTTATCTAATTTAATACGTCTACTGTACGAAAAGCAAATGTACCATGCGATTCAAGAAGCGTGCTTCAATCAAGAATATAGAGAAAAACAAGCAAAATTGTGACAGTTGATAAAAATTTTCCTCAATCATCAGGATAGAAATCTATAAAATATTGAATTTGATTAGTCAAAAATGCTTCATACTTCTTAATTACCTTTTTATTACACCCGCATGTACGTTATATATTTTTCTATACAACCTAAAGATAGAGACTACGGACTTCAATGCGATGATGACGACGAACAAAAAAACTGCAATTTTCATTCCAACCTTGTTACATTATTCGAAACCCCAATACTTAACGAAGCAAAAAAAGTGTTATTCCCTTTTTTTAAAGCTGAAATGGGCACGTAATTTAAAATACAACTTTTTCAATTCAGTAGCTGAATTTCAAATTGGACACTTATCGAAAGTTAGGACTGTTCTCAATGTGGGTGTTGATGTATTCTATTAGGTATATACACTTTCTTTTCACATATGCGTGCTCAAAAATACCGAATGTTGGATACAAAAGGATTTGATGGAATATTTAAGAATTCTTGGTGATGACTCGGAAACAAGACTAGATTTTAAAAGAAGTTTCAGAGTGAAATAAAATACATATAGGTATAATTTTAAAAACACGAAGTATATTGTGGAAAATTCCAGAAATATAAGGTATTAAAAACGTAATAAACATCATACATTTATTAATATTTTAATATTTAGGTCCATATTTTAATGTTTGACTTATTTACTTCCGAAAATCTTAATGAGAACAGCATGCATAACTTTTTTGAAATCACTTTACTTTTTTTAAATTCAAACAACACAGTAAATAGAGAATACCAAAACATTTGTTAGTTGTTTGTCACATTTCTAGAGAAACATGCTCCCCTGATTAATTCAGCGAAGTAAAGGAAGGTTTCAATTTTATCTTTTTTTTTTAATTTATAATTTTAGTAGAGGAGAAATGGGGAGGCAAAAGGATTCATTGCGATGGTATATCAAAAGAATGCGATGAGGCATCAAAGAGACGTGAGGGGATGCTGTGGTATCAAAAGAATATGATGGGGAATCAAAAGGTTTCAATTTTATTCTTTTTTTTTTAATTTATTTATTTAAAAATACCACTTTTGATACTTTTAAATTGTATTTTTTTAAATTTATTTTATATTGGATTTCATATTTAATTCTTAAATTATTTTTAAATTATTATATCTTTTGCATTTATTGTATGTTTATCAACAACATATATATATATGGGTTTAAGATGTAAATACCTTCAGTATAGTCAGAAGATCCTTTTTAAAAACTACACCCATATTATTTAAAAATGGTACAAAGTATTATCCATCAAAAGAAGTATGAAGCATTATATATAAATTAAAAAAAAAATCATTAAAAATTATAGAAATCTATCGTTTCAAAGCGTCAAACTATCATAGACTACCTCGTCTTTATCCAAGCCCAACTATAGAAAAGAAATAAAGGTTCATTTAAAAATCATTTTTCATGAAAAAATCTATCAAAAAAATCTTATAACGTTGCGGAAATATGACTGGTGAAGTGAGGTTTTCCTGTCAACTTACCAAACTTGTGTGTTTTAAAATATCCCTTATCCAGTTTAATGATTGAAAGAATCGTTTTATTGACAGATGTCATATTTTTAGGTTAAAAAAACGAAATATACAAGCAATCGATAATTACTTTCTAATAGTAAGACTTTTTTTATTAGATTTAATGACAGATGTCATATTTTTAGGTCGATAAGATGAAAACTGCAAAAAAATGCTAAATATACATCAAACCTACCTGTTTCATAGGTTGAGAGAATTTTATAGTCGTACAAGTTTTTAAAACACACAAGTTTGGCATACTTTCCTGTCGTATGAGATGTCTAACTACCAAAAATTAGTTTCTTCAAAAATTCCTCAAAAATCAAACAACGAATAGAAAGTGGTGGCCAGGGCCGGACTGGACGAGTTTTAGTTAAAAACATTGTCGATATTAGTGATTTAAAGACATAGATTTAAGTACAGTTCTTTATATTGTGAAGAAAAATAAATTGTTTAATTTCTATAACGAATCGACCATTTTGGCCGAGTGCAAACAAATTAAAAATAGAATGTCTTGTAGGCCCAGTCCAGGCCTGGTGGAAACGAAAGTCTGTAGACTAAACTGAGAGCATTCAAATGTTTCACATTTCAAAAATGCAACATTTAACATCAATTTTTCCATCTATATTCGATTTGGTAAGTCCTGTTAGATTTTGGATTAAATGTGTTTTATGTTGGTAAAGTAATTTATACAGACAAAGATGGCGAATGTATTAAAAAAATAGATTTGGTGTTTGTTATTTGAATAATTGATGTTTGTACAATATTAATGTGGTTTTAAATATTGCAATTGTCGCGCATCATTTGTTTGGGAATTTTAGAATAGGTCTGACAGAGATAAACAGCGTCAATAAGTGACGTACGATATCTACATTTTTATGTATTTATCAAAACCTTTACGATACTTACCATCGTTAATATTACAGTCTTTTGCAATTACAAGTGTACCGTATCTTTCGTTCCAACATTCAGAACATACCATTTTGAAATCGTCAAAGAACATGTTCATCAAAAATATGTTTAAAGTTAATCTGGTCCTGTTTAAATATCACAATTGCATTGCAATTGCCGCGCATCATTTGTTTGGGAATTTTAGAATCGGTTTGACAGAGAGAGCATCGAAAATATCTTGGAGTAATCTTCGCGAATTTTCTTGTGTCCATCACATGCTACATTATCAAATATGAAAATTTCTTCATTGTCTTTAAGTGAAAAATAACCCACTTCCTTCATACAAGATAAAATTTCTTCTATATAAATAAAAAACGAGCCTATATTATTGCATTTAAAATATAATTTCAAATCAAAGCAACAAAATCTTAACCAAAACCACTCTAGTAAATATTTATGAATAGTTATTTTTGTTATTGATCCTCGAAAAACCAAAACAAACTATTAGTCAATTAATGAAAACAAAACTCTAACAGGACTCTCCAATCGACATAACAAAATGTGTCGTTTTGTAATACATACTTCCTTTGTACTCACTTCATCAGTATCGGTACCGAAAAATAGAAGATCGAACGGTACCGCTGCCACCAGATCGATGAGGAACCACCCTTTTAAGTAATGGAAGGCTATTTTGACCGGATCTGATACAACTTCGTCGTTACCGGTCACGTAGGTCGTGCGAAAGTTTATTAGAATGTCTACTATGAAAGTGACGTCCACTGAAATAAAAAAAAAATATGTAATGAATTGAAAAATCCTATTTATATAGCTAAAAATAATTAAAAAAGTAACTAGATATCATTTTAGCGGTAAATTTGAATTCGTTTTGTATCATTTCAAGAAAAACTTTGTTATGAATGTATTGAAGTCAAATTTTTAGATAACCAACGAATAAAAGTTTATTAAAGAAAACTTGTTTAGACCAATTTCTTTTCATGTGGTATTTCGACAAAAAAACAGTTTTCCTTTTTTTCTAAATGAATTACTTTCAGCCTTGAGTCAAAAAAATAAAGATACTGCTCCTAGTAATGATTCTTTTATATATTTTCAAATTAAATACCTTCCAATATCTATTCTTGATAGGTTGTTTTAATAATAACTGTATTCTTTAATTTACCTTTTATTATTTAACATTTACTTTGATATTTGTATAAGAATTTAATATAACTAACAAACTGTAAAACAACAGTCATAATGTTTTGAAAATATAAAATATAAACATGTGCCATCATATTTCATAGCAAAACTTCAAGTAAACTTCAATTATAGAGGAAGACGGTAATTTAAAAGCCGGAAAACCAATTTCAATAAAAGTTTAATTGGGTAAATCTAAAAGTTAAATTAAAACTTTGATAGTAATCAACTGTGTGGGAAAACACTTTATACTAAGTGAGAAGATTTTCCAAGATTAGTTAACGAGTTGATAAAACTACATCCTAGACATCCAATTATTTTGTTTTTTAATTTTAAAATATAATAACGATTATAAATATTTAATAGTAGTTTATTTTATGAAGACGAAAATTGAGGAGTCTGAAAAAAATAGAAAATTAAATCCGAAATAAAAAAATTAAAAATTTGTTTTATATGATATTTCACCAAATATATATAAAGGTCTAGTTTATTAATGTATATTAAAAGTCTTAAATTAATGCCACATAAAAAGAGTTTGTTGGTGATTATCTGTCTTCAGCAAAGATTTCATCATGACTGAAGTGACTAGTGAAAGATACAATATACACTGCTTAATTTTTATAAGCTATATAAATCTAATAAGTTCATTACAATGAATAATGTACCATAAAGATGCGATATAAGAGAAAAGTTATATTGTAAAATTACTTATAAATTAAATAGGTATATTTTTGATAACAATTGAACAATAATTGCTGTTGCTGTCATGCCAGTGTCTTACGTCAAATAGATTTAATTACAGTATATTATAGTTTTTCTTCTATTAAATTAAAAATGTTTTTACACAAATTTGATCTAAATGTAGATTATGGGCTACTATTTTATAATAGCCAAAAAACTGAAAATAAAACAGAATGTTTAGATGTATATTTAACAGTTCTACTTTTCGATTATGTTTTCTATCAAAAAAACGATGTTTTTTTGACAAATTCGAATGAAAATATGTTTAGCTTGAATCACCAAATATCCTGGCGTATTTCGATTAAAAAAAAAAACAAATTTATTTTCAAATAAATATGTTTGATATGTTTTCCAAGGGTCCAATCTTAGTTCATTCTAAGGCAAACATTTTGCTATTATCTTTTAATAAAAACGCATTGTACGTTTCGTCTAAAATGCAAAAAAATAACTAGCTCCTTATTATGAACCAAACATTCATCTTTTTTAGTAATTGTGGTTTATTAAAAATAACGCAAAGCTGGGTTGAAAGCTCTTTTGTATATATTTTTTAATGAAACTGTATGGAGCTGACAAAGTTAAAAAACGGTGACATTAGGGTCTCATTAGTATGGAGAAACAAAGTCCAGGCGGATAATTCAGAATCACAAGAATCATAGGCGTCTCACGTAGTGAGTTAAGTTAGATATTTAAAATAATACAAGCTTTAGATGATTTTATCTCAAAAACTATATTAGCTGAAAACAGATCATTTATTTAGTTTGATATTTTTGTTCTTCTCAATTTTAATATTTGAAAATTTATAGTAAATATTACACTAACTAAAATATTCATTCATTCAGACCTTCAGGTGGACGTTGACCAAACTTTCCCCAAATTTGCTAGGAGATACCTTTTTTTAACAACACAAATCTGCTAAGAAGACCCAAGGGAGTGAAACCTTTTGAGTAATCTAAGAGATTTTGTTAATAACAAAGCAAAACATTGTGCGGTATAGTATAATTAAATTACCAAACCCTAAAGTGTATAAGCAAGTAGAATTTTAGTTTTTTAAGATTGTAACCTTAGTTAAATTAGTTTAGAACAAAATTACTTAGGTATTATTGCATATTCGTTTTAAAAATAAATATAATAATAACTCTTATCATTTTGTTCACCCACCATACTAACTTTGTCTATTCCACACGGTTCAATATAAGATTACACTTAATATGTTTGCGTTAATCTTTACCTTTTAGTAACTAACTAAAATATTTAGTACTCACCAATAAGATCAATAATAACAATAGGATCTTCACTGTATTTTTTGTTTTTCCTATTGTTGAAATCGGGTTCTCCCAGCAAAAAGGCGGCGACGTATGGAGTGAAGATGGCCGTATAGATGACCAGAATCAAAATTATCCAGTCCCAAACGGCTTTGAAAGGTGAGTAGTGAAGAATGGTGTAATTATGAATCCGAGGATTTTGGAGTTTGTATTCTGGAAGGACGTCTGCGCCCAGAGAAAGAACCTGGAACAAAGAAACAAGCAATCAAAGACACGTTACCAACATACTATCATTGTATAAAGAACTACTAGTAGAAGTATAATATAATATACTTTACTTTTAATCAAATCAAAACAAAAAACAATAAGTCGTGAGTAGATAGGCTAGAGGGCTACGGGACCACATAGGGAATTCAACGTGTAAGAGTGAGAGGTACATATGGCGTTTCACGTTTGGCGTTTGACGCCAAACGTGAAACGTCATATGTACCTCTCACTCTTACACGTTGAATTCCCTGTGGTCCCGTAGCCCTCTAGTCTATCTACTGTCGTGAAATTTTCATTGACATCTGTACTATTTTCTGGAGGGTGTCATTAAAATTGAGTGTCGTGCAATTTACCCTTTTTCATCCCCTACTACATATCTCGCTTGTTATTCTATTTTATCTGTAAATCAGATTCTCGTGATATCTCGACTCAAAGTGTTCATATTGACGGTGTATATATAAATAACCTTTTATTTTTTACTTTACTCAATTCAGAATTCAGTCAAGGTATTCTCTCTACCAGGAACGATGTGGAATCAAGGTCATCTCTTTACCAGGCAGTTTTATATCAAATAAATTTGAATCATAGGTTTTCCGTTGCATAAATATTTAAAGAAAAAATAACATACTGCTAGAAATGTCTAGGAATATCTACGAATATATAAGAATGTCTAAAAATGTCTAGGAATGTCTAAAAATGTCTAGGAATGTCTAAAAATGTCTAGAAATATCTAGGAATGTTTAGGAATATCTACTGAAGTCTACGAATGTCTAGGAATGTTTATAAATGTCTAGGAATATCTTGTAATGTCTAGGAATATCTAGGAATGTCTAAGAATATCTAGGAAAATCTAGGTATGTCTAGGAATGTCTAGGATTGTCTAGGAATGTCTAGGAATGTCTAAAAATGTCTAGAAATATCAAGGAATGTCTAAGAATGTCTATGAATGTTTATGAATGTCCAGGTGTGTCTAAGAATATCTAGAAATGTTAAGGAATGTCTAAAAATGTATAGAAATGTCTACAAATGTCTATAAATGTTTAGGAATGTCTAAAAATGTCTAGGAATATCTAGGAATGTCTAGGAATGTATGGAAATGTTTTAATTTTTAAAGTAGGCATTATAAATTGAAATGGTATCTATAAAATGATTTTAAACATAAATTTAACCTTTTCTTTTGATTATTTTTCCTATATTAACTGTATTGTAGATTTTAATTGACTCGTGTACTTTTATTTTTTAATTATCTGTAATGGATATATGTCTTTAATAATTGAATTATTATAACACAAAACTTCTATTAATAGTATCTTAATAATCGTTTAAACGTTTTTAGACTCCATAACTCTAAACTGATTATATAATGTATCTTATTACTATCAATTAATATAAATAAACATTAAGAATAATCGAAACAATCGCCTTAGAAGGAGTAGAATTAAAAATCTTTAAAGTAAACCAAGTCTATGGCAGTACAAAGCTATTTTTGAAAGATTTTGAATAAAATAGTAATCATACAAGAAGAAAAACCAGAACAAGAATTACCACCAACAATAATAGTAACTCAAAAACTAATAAGTAAGCAACAGTATTGTAGCTACCATATTAAAAATAAATAAATAAATAAATGTTTTCATACCTGACTATAGTAACAAAAAGAAAGACATTTTTTAGATCATAATGATCTGATTAATATACAAGTCATTAGAGATTAATCATTTTACATTAATTACGAATTTTATGGGCCACTGCTCGCGAGAGTTTGTTGCAATCGCGGCACCGCAACGGTTAGTGGCGTCGAAATACATTCAATCAAGTCTCTCAGTGGTACATTGAAGATATATTAGTTTATATCAAGAATTATACACGATAGGTGGTAGAAAAACGTAGCAGCAATGGGCGATGAGCAGAATTATTCTAAAAGAAATAAAGGAACATTCCTAAATAAGCATTTAAGTATTAAATTCAGTTCATATAATCATACGAACATAATGAAAACAATATATATTCCTTAAAAAAATCTTATTTGGTATTTGGGTCTGGAAAAACCGAAAATAACCTCTAAATTTTTCTAGGGCTTCTCAGTTTTCTTGTAGTGCTCCAAAATCGCTCGAAAACCCATATCTCGTTCCACATGCGTCCTATTAATTTTTTATGGCCATTTTTGTCTTTTCCAGGCCAAAATACCCTATGTTGAATTATTTCAAATTTTTAGATCAAGTAATAAAAATTTTTGTGCTCCAGAATTTACATATTTTTCCTAAAATACTCTCTAGCGACACTAGGAGCTTCTAAATATTTTTTTTATGACTTGTATACTCTATTGAATCGTTCTCAACCATATTTTGATCATATCTCAAATAGTATGGGCTCAGAAAAGGTTTATCTGCACCCATGTCCTAGAGAGGTCTTTTAAAGTTCAAGCACCTACGTAGCTTTCAAAAAATAAATAAAAAAACATGATCCTAAATGCCTTAAGTGGCCAGTAGCCCTTACTATGTCCCTGGTCACATTCACTTTATTATTATACCAAAATAATTTTGAATAGAAAAACCTCCTGACATTTTGCTTATGATTATACGATTTATCTCCAGTACAGTTGCAAGTTTTCGTGTATTGATTTTATTGGTTCATTAATGTGACCTAAAACTAAACTCCTGCTTGAATGACTTAATTTCTCACTTATTGCATATCGAACAAATCGTGTTTACATAAATTTAGCTACTAAAATTAGATTACAATTTACACGCTTATCATGATATTGTAGATAAAATAAATTTGCCGTTTTGTGGTTACATTATTTCCTAGAAAAATATTAATAATTTCTATAAATCTATATAACGTAAGTTCACGAAACATTTTTAATAATAACTGTTAATTCTATTGTGGTATTTTGTATTTGATGATGGCTTTTTTCGAAAGCTCTAAGCCTAATTCTATTAAACGAATTTTCATTTATTTCATTCACCTAGTGTATTTAATTTAGTTTTTTTTTTTGAGCTATTAGGAACATAATAAACCGCGCTATCAACCTGTATCGTTAAGATAAACAAACTTTGCTCCAAATTTCATTTTTCATAATAGCAATCAAATTTTCAAGTCGGCTACAAAAGATGTTGATATTTTGGGACTTTCTTGGATCCCACAAAAGGAAATTGAAAGCTTTCCTTTTACCGGAAAAGCGGGACGTTCATTCCATATGTCAGTTTCAAATTCGCTTTCAAAAAGGATTCAATACAAGTTCATTTCGTATCATACCTTTGAAGTAAGAGAATTGAGGGCTTTTGAATATAGAGCTAAACTTCAATTTATATTGAGCTTGTTGTCAGTGAATAAAGGTAACTTTAGTCTATCTCCATGTTTTCAATCAATAAATCCTCATAAGACAATTTTAATTGTGTTTATTTAAGTTTATATTAACTTTCGTTTCGTTAACGCGATATGAAGTTAAGATAGTACAGATTATGTTCTTAAACTAGCGGTTTTCAATAAAGAAAACAACATTATAAAAATAATAAAATATTTATTAAAGTGATGATTTTTTCAATATTTTTAAGAGTACATTTTTATGGATTCCTATTTTTTATTACTTTTATGTTCCAAATTATTTCATAATATAAACATATCTGTGTTTCTATTATTTCAATTTAGCAATATTATGGTAGATTAATTCATGTAAATACTAGACATATTACAGAAAGAATCTCTAGTAATGTCTAGGAATACCTAAAGAAGTAATGTCTAAAAATGTCTAAGAATGTCTAAGACTATCTAAGAATGTCTAAGACTATCTAAGAATGCCTAAGACTTCTAGTAATGTCTAAGAATGTCTAGGAATGTCTAAGAATGCCTAAGAATGTCTAAGAATGTCTAAGAATGTCTAAGAATGTCTAAGAATGTCTAAGAATGTCTAAAAAAAGTCTAGAAATATCTAGGAATGTCTAAGACTTCTAGTAATGTCTAAAAATGTCTAAGAATGTCTAATACTATCTAAGAGTGTCTAAGACTATCTAAGAATGTCTAAGACTATCTAAGAATGTCTAAGACTTCTAGTAATGTCTAAGAATGTCTAGGAATGTCTAAGAATGTCTAAGAATGTCTAAGAATGTCTAAGAATGTCTAAGAATGTCTAAAAGAATGTCTAAGAATGTCTAAGAATGTCTAAGAATGTCTAGCAATGCCTAGAAATGTCTAGAAATATAATTCCATGTCAAGAATCATCTGGAAGCTTCAAAAAATTTCGAGAAAGTTTAAACAAGCAATATAATTCAATGATCTTCAAGTCACAGTTCTGTTTTCTGATATACGTTGTAAAATTCCTCTGAGCAATAGTTTCGTGCAAAGACGAATCGATGAGATGGCTAAAGACATAGAAGACTCATTGTGTAATTATCTAAAGACATATCAATTTTCAATTCAGCATATGTGAGGTCTATCAAAGATGATACAAAAACTAAGAAACTGATATAAAGTAAGACTCAATATTTAAGACACAAAAAAGATATATTTTATCAGCTGCTACAGATAGCGCTTCTTCTATAACCGGGATACACAGAGAATTCATAGATCATAGATTGCCATACATTGCGTTTAGAAAGGCTTAGGAATGTATAAAAATGTCTATGAATGTCTAAAAAAGTCTAGAAATATCTAGGAATGTCTAAGAATGTTCAGGAATGTCTAAGAATGTTCATGAATGTCTAGAAATGTCTAAGAATATCTAAGACTTCTAGTAATGTCTAAGAATGTCTAGGAATGTCTAAGAATGTCTAGGAATGTCTAGGAATGTCTAAGAATGTCTAAGAATGTCTAAGAATGTCTAGGAATGTCTAAGAATGTCTAAGAATGTCTAAGAATGTCTAAGAATGTATAGGAATGTCTAAAAATATATAGGAATGTCTAGAAATGTCTATGAATATCTAGGAATGTCTAGGAATATCCAGGTATGTCTATGAATGTCTAGAAATGTTCAGGAAT